TTCTAATTTGTTTCTCCTTTTTAACACCGTTTTCTATTTATTCTTATCAACTAAATGATCTCTACTCCTAATGTCTCAGTTGATAGTCTTCGTTCCGGGTTTATTTTCGTCCCACCTCCCGAGTGAGGGAGAGGGGGAGAGAGAGTGAGGAAGAGGGAGGGAGCGGGTGTGTATGTGAGAATTTGATGGTAAAAAATGTCGTCAATGTCACTTAATATGTATGAGAATATTCAATGTAATATTAACATAATTGATATTGAACTTTTAAAGTTAATCTGGCCCCGTTGCAACAAACGGGCGTTCTTCTAGTATATGTGGTTAGGATCCTTACGCGCATCGCAGTAGATCACGTTTCCTCAACCCTCGCAACCAACCTATCCGTCTCCTTTACCTAGTCGGCCACCGGCGCTTGTTATTTCTGTTCCTCTCGTCGGCTGCACCATCGGTCCGCCTCATCCTCTATTGCCTAGCCATGGAGGTGTGGTGGATCCTAGCCTTTGCCGACTGGAGGGCTTTGTTTTTAGATGTTTTTATGGGTTTTGTTAAGGTTTGTGTCCTGCTCAGAGAGACGAGACGACGGAGGGTGTGTGTGGAGACTAGCCCCCGTTCTAGCGGTGCTTCTAGCATCGTTGGAGGGTGTGTGTGTGGAGGTTTGTCTCTGCCGGATCCCATAGGATTCGGTTGGCGTTTGACTTCGGTGGATCCACGTGGATCGGGTCTTCTTTCGTCAGTGATCGCTTGTCTATTGGTTGGATCATTCCGATCTATCTTTCTCTTCATCGACGACGGTTGCTACTGGTGCGCTGGTCCTATAGGCCCTTGGCACGACGACTTTCCGACTGCTTACTATAACAATATTTGCACGGCTACGGTGAGGGAGCGCTGATGATGGCGGCACGCCTTCGGCTCGCTCTAATGCTTGTAGTCGTCGCTAGGTGGTCTACGGACCTAGATGTACTTTTTACTTCTGGTGTTCACTTACCACTTTGACAGTTGATGAATAGATCGGAAGATTTTCCCCCCAAAAAAGGATCCTTACGCGCAATAAACAACATCGTCGGGTTTTTTTAGTTTTAAATCACTCTTCTTCTTCTTCCCAGTCCATGCTCACCACCGCTGTTAATGGTACGTCCCTCTCATACAATGTAGCTTGAGGCGAGTTGTCCATTTGTTTCTGCATATCCATGAGTTTCCTCTGCCCGAGTCGCACTATTTTTCGGGCCTTAGTGAAATACTCTGGGTACTCGGCTTTCGGTGTTATTCCTGTAGTGGATACACTACATGTAGTCTCTACTCAACTCTCAAGGGGCATTTCCAATCCAGTAGTTCACTGCAGCTAGCTGTAGGGGTCTCAGGTTTGTAGTAAAGTGCATTTGCATGAATTAATTAGTTACTGCTAGAGTGTAGTACCGGCCCAACAAAACCGCTTTAGTTTTGAAGCAGCTTGTATACACACGCTGTTTCCTGTAAGCAAGGTCGACAAGGCTTCTAGTCCGTGGTATTGCATGGACGCAGCAAATAGAGCACTAGCTGTAGATGGAACTACACGTATAAAAGTGCAGGTAGATAGATTATTAAAATAAATTGCAGACAGCAAACGATAGATTAATTATCAACTGGACATGTCAAGGAGCGGCGCATTATTTCTACCGTCGTCTCATCCGAGAGCAACATAGTGGCGATCATGGCGAGGTTTGGCGGTGGTTTTCCTATTCGAAAGAGACCCGGAGAATAATTCGGGCTTCTACTTTCATCTCTTTCTCTGTCTCGTGTGGTTTCTCTTGTGGCAGCGACGATTAAATTCTGAATAGTATAACCTCGCACCGAGACAAGGTGCACCGGCCCTCGCATGCAACGCCAATTCGTTTCTGATGATTACGAAGACATTGGTGACGACGCCAGCGTATTTTCGACCAAAGGTGCATCCATCTTAGCTAGCATGCATAAATAGAAGTCAACCATGTGTAGAATTAAATATACTTAACCATTAACACACAAATGCTCTAAATACACCGGTGTAAGAGGGGCGAAAGCCTTTTTCGGCAAGTAACAATGTATTCTTGATTTGTATAAGCAACAGCCCTTGTTAACCATAAGCCTAGACGTATGCATATGCAAGGTTCCAAATATACATGCTAGGCCGCCGCCCTGGAGATTATTTTGTGACACGGACGGAGTTATGACGTTATGTTATGCTCTAAATTTCCCTGCTCACCTAACTAAGGCTGTGTTTGGTTGAGCTGCAGATTCTAAAAAAGCTGCTGTGAAAAAGCTGGAAGCTGAAAAGTTGGGGTACCCCCAGCTTTGAAATTTACACTAGGAAGAAGCTACAGATTCTCAAAAGCTGCTTCGAAAATTTACCCATTCGGTTAGCTTTTGGCTTTTCAAAGCAGAAGTTGGTAAAAAAAGCTGAACCAAACACAGCCTAATCTTGCTTGAATAACTGCTTATTATATTGGACAACATTCATAAAAAGAAAGATGCTACTAGCTGACTGAGCAAAATCGTTCTTTCCATGCTGCAAGCATGGGATGGTGATGATGACAAGTGCATTTTAAGACCTAATTAAGCTTTATCATCTTGTAGTAGCAGCTGCTTTTTCTCACCATTATTCGTACTATATTTGTTTGTCTCAATGACCATAAATTTGATCAACATCATACCTCATTGTGCAGTTGCAGAGGAATGCCTACACAACCCTGAAGAAGGTTACGGGGTTCAGCAAACAATTGCATGCTATTTGCACAGGATGAATTCAATTCAGCTGAGACAATCTCTAAAAAATAGCAATAGTTTAATTATGTGAGGTACTGGAGCCATCGTTAAAACTGATATTTGTTTGGTACTCTCAACTCTAGAGGTAGAAGTGAGTGTGCTAAAAAAATCTCAGGTGGAGAACTGAGTTTTCATTTGGTCCGCTGCGTCATGAAAAGAATTGATACATCAGCACCTCAGAATTTTCTTGGCATTACATAGGTAGTACAATTTGTCCCCATGGAAATTCTTTCTAGCTATGCGATCTCTGGTTTTTAATTTGTCCTGGAGCAGTACCCTGCTAAAAAAAAGTTATATAGCAAAACAAAAATATGAAACTGATCAATTACCAGGTTCGGGTGTCGCGCCTCCCATCTAGTACGTCATAGAACAAGTGACAGATAGAAAAGAAATGTCTTACTTATTCCTGCTGAACCAGTCTTCACAGCAGATGCATGCTTGTCATTCTTATCTCTCCCTTATTGTCCTATCTGCATGTTAGAAAATGATGCAGGCCTGGGGGGTGAACATTATTTGGTTGGAGTCATCTGGGATGATGATACAAACAATGGTTTGCATATGCAAGTTGCAGCATAAACTCAAGCTTATAATTAAGAAAATTATAGAAGTATTCAACAATAGTGATGTATAGTTGCAAATAAAGCTCAGCTCTTGGATTCCTTGATATTATCAGTCAGTATACAACTCAGCTCTTGGGTTCCATGATATTATCAGTCAATATGCAGCTCAGCTCTTTAATTCCTTGATATTATCTCCATTTGCTTCCATCATCTGTCCACCCCATAGCAGCCTTGCCGTGGGAGGGACCTGCACAGTATCATCGCTATTTCACCAATTTGGATGAACATTGATTCTTGTTGTTATTCAGGAGGTGCATGCTCTTGACTAATTTTGCACTTCTTCGGTTGTTCTTCATGTTCTGTTTTTTTTTCTGACAGCTATTGTGGAACTAAGAAATAAAGTAAAATAAAAGCAGGATTACAAGGTTGTTCGTGTTCTGTCAATGCTTAACCTCTCTTCTTTTATTTCTCATGCTGCAGTTTCTTAATTCCTCCAATCTCGAAGATCATGGCAGAATCGCTGCTCCTCCCTCTGGTGCGCAGCGTGGCCGGCAAGGCTGCAAACACACTTGTCGAGGCGTTGACCCACGTGTGTGGCCTCGACAACGACCGCCGAGTGCTGGAGCGCCAGCTGCTAGCCGTCGAGTGCAAGCTGGCAAGGGCCGAGGAGAGGAGCAAGACAAACACCTATATCAAGAGCTGGATGAAGGAGCTCAAGTCCGTCGCCTATGAGGCCGGCGACGTGCTGGACGACTTCCAGTACGAGGCGCTGCGCCGCCAGTCTAAGATTGGAAAGTCCACTACGTGCAAGGTACTCAGCTACATCACGCACCACAACCCACTTCTTCCGTTTTGAAATGAGCAAGAAACTAAAGACCGTCCTTGAGAAGATCAATAAGTTGGTTGAGGAGATGAAAACGTTTGGTCTGGAGGATCCTATCGACAGGGAGGAGCGGCAAAATCTATGGCGGCAGACGCACTCAAAATTAGATGAGTCTACCGAAATCTTTGGAAGAGAGAATGATAAGAAGGTGGTGGTGAAGTTGCTACTGGACCAGCAAGATCAACAGAAGGTGCACGTGATGCCCATCTTTGGAATGGGAGGTCTTGGCAAGACGACTCTTGCTAAGATGGTGTATAATGACCAACGGCTCCAGCAACATTTCCAGTTGAAGATGTGGCACTGTGTGTCTGAGAACTTTGATGCCATTGCTATTTTGAAATCCATCATTGAGTTGGCTGTAAATAAAAGATGTGATATGCCTGACACAATCGAGCTGTTGCGAAAGCAACTTGAGGAAGTCATTGGCCGGAAGAGATTTTTACTTGTTCTCGATGATGTATGGAATGAGAACAAGAGGATGTGGGAGGATGAAATGAAGCCACTATTGTGTTCTATTGGTGGACCAGGAAGTGTTATAGTGGTCACATGTCGAAGCAAGCAAGTGGCCTCTATAATGTGCACTGTTGAGCCCCATGAGCTAGTATTTCTGAGTGAAGAAGATTTGTTTTCGAACAAAGCATTTAGCAATGGTGTAGAAGAGCAAGTAGAGTTTGTCTCCATTGGAAGGTGTATTGTCAATAAATGCGGGGGGTTGCCTCTTGCTCTCAAAACAATGGGTGGATTGCTGAGTAAAGCAACAAGTACATAAATGGAAGGTCATCGAAGAAAGTAACATTGGGGATAATAATGGAGGCAAATATGAGGTCATGCCCATACTAAAGTTGAGCTACAAACACCTGTCATCTGAAATGAAGCAATGTTTTGCATTTTGTGCAGTTTTTCCTAAGGATCATGAGATGGAGAAGGAAATGTTGATCCAATTATGGATGGCAAATGGCTTTATTCAAACAGGAACACTAGATTTAAAACAGAAAGGCGAATTAATTTTCGATGAGTTGGTTTGGAGATCCTTCCTCCAAGATAAGAAAGAGAGCACAAATTTTCATATAAATGGTTTTTCCTGTAAAATGCATGATTTAATGCATGATCTAGCAAAAAGTGTCACAGATGAATGTGCAAGTATAGAAGAACTAACTCAACAGAAAGCATTGTTAAAAGATGTTTGTCACATGCACATATCAAAGGCTGAATTGAAACAAATCAATTGGTTATGCAAAGGCAGAACATGCCTCCGCACTTTGTTAGCTCCAACAAACTCACACAAGGATTTTAAAGAACTGCTACACATATCGGTATCACTAAGAGCGCTGCATTTCCGCCCTTATTCAATTGCACTTTGCAAGTCCATAAACGCAAAACATTTACGATTCCTTGACCTCTCTGGGTCTAGCATCATTAGTTTGCCAGATTCAATATGTGCGTTGTATAACTTGCAAACATTGAGGCTCCTACGTTGTTATATGTTGCATCAGTTACCAGAGAACATGGCAAGACTGAGAAAGCTCATCAATCTTTATCTCTTTGGTTGTGATAGTCTCAGAAGTATGGCTCCAAACTTTGGTGTACTGAACAACCTTCAAATATTAACAACATTTGTTGTGGATACTGGAGAAGGCCTTGGAATAGAGCAGCTAAAAGACTTGCAACACCTTAGCAATAGGTTGGAACTATTGAATTTGAACAAGATAAAGAGTGGGGAGAATGCAAAAGAAGCCAATCTCACTCAGAAGCAAAACGTAAGTGAGTTGTTGTTCTCGTGGGACCAAGAAATAGATGATGGGCCAAAAGATATGGCATGTAATGTGGAAGAAGTGCTTCAGTGTTTAGAACCTCATAGTAATATCCAGAAGTTGGAGATAAGTGGATATGGTGGCCTAGAAATATCACAATGGATGAGAAAGCCACAGATGTTTGACTGCTTGAGAGAACTCAAAATTTCCAACTGCCCAAGATGCAAGAGTATACCCGTAGTATGGCTTTCAGAATCTCTAGAGGTTTTGTTCTTACAAAGGATGGATAACCTGACAACATTATGCACTAACCTTAGTGTGGAAGCTGGAGGGCGCATTACAACTCTGCAAATTTTCCCAAGGTTGAAGAAGTTGTTGTTGCTTGAGTTACCAAACTTGGAGATGTGGGCAGAAAATTGTGTGGGAGAGCCTACTGTTAGCTTGGTAATGTTCCCTATGCTTCAAGAGCTAACGATCAGAAATTGCCCCACGCTTGCAAGTATTCCAGTGATCCCTGTTGTCAGCGAGTTGAAAATAGTTGGGGTTCATAGTACTGCAGTCAATTTAGTTTTGATGAGCATCTGTTTGGGCTCTTGGCCATTTCTCATCAGTTTAACTGTTGGGTATGGAGAAGACATGCCCATGTTGCCTCTAGACGCCCATCAAAGCCATGGTGAAAGACCTCTTGAAAAACTTAAGTATTTGTATCTGGAAGGCTGCAACAGCTTGGTGAGAAGCTCCGAATTGTCCAGGTCACAACTTATGGTTTGGAAATGCTTTCAACTCGTGGAAAGTCTGACGATTAGCGGATGCTGGGATCTCTTTCACTGGCCAACAGAGGGGCTCCGGAGCTTGTATTGCCTCCGCTCTCTATGTATCAGATATTGTCACTACCTGGAGGGGAATACTTCATCGTCCGAGGAGGAAACCCTTCCACTGTGCCTAGAGGAGTTGATGATTTCAGGCTGCCGCAATGTGGTAGCGCTGCCTTCGAACCTTGGAAAACTTGCCAAGCTGAGGAGCCTCTCTTTGTTCGACTGTACATGCCTGAAAGCGCTGCCTGACGGGATGTGTGGCCTCAGTTCTCTTAGGAAATTGGAGATTTGGAATTGTCCAGGTATGGAGGAATTCCCACATGGTCTTCTGGAGCGGTTACCCGGCCTCGAAGACTTAACCATATATGACTGCCCGGAGTTGCTAAGACGATGCAGAGAAGGTGGGGAGTATTTCCAATTGGTCTCCTCTGTCCCACGTAAGTGGATATCATCACCTTAATTTTTTGATGACGGTGTCATGAAAATCCAGAATAACTGCAAAGTAAATCGGCAAAAGCATGACCGCCCTGGTAAATAATCAATCTCCCTTGTGTGTAAATAAATGTTGTCACATCGAATCCTGTGATAACATGGGATGCTAACGCGATGAATTCGACGTACCTGCAGGTCTGAATCTGAAAGCCTCCACGGCATGAAGGAGGCAATGGTCGATCCGCTCCCATCTTGCCGCTGTACACGCCGCGACCTGGAGGGCCAACCGTCGTCCTCGTCAGCAGGGCCGTGGAGGGGGAAGAGGAAGGTTGGTGCTGCGCGCGCCGTGGCCTGAGGCAGCCGCCCTCCTCATCGCCAGAGCGCATGCCTGGGGCAGGACTTCGACAGCGGAGACGTTGAGGAAAGTGGGCGAGATTGGCTGCGCTGACGGAGACGAGAGAGGAAGAAACAGAGGAGGGTGGGTTCAAACTTCAAAGCCCTCTCGGAGGCCCTCTGGAAGTAGTATTGGCATACTCATACACATGTAAGTTCGTTGCTTTAATCTGTACAGCTTCTCTAAAATAAAAATCTGCACAGCAGCTACCACATGTAAGTTATGTTGTGAGGATTAGCTTGATGCTATTCCTGGAAATATTAATGTGTTTCTCCCACAGGCTCCTCCCATGTTCTACCGCATACCCATTCTGCTAATAACAATGCGTTTGCAAGTCATACCTTGTATTGCTAGGCATCTTGCAAGCATTTCGAAACATTTCAGTTCTTCTTTTCCCTTTTTTTGACTCTTGCTGCAGACGACTGAGTGACAAACATGAGGCTTCTTCCTTCTTCTTCTTTTGCAAGAAAGCATGAGGATTCATTACAAACAATTTATTTTTGTGTTTCTCCCCGGAGTTTCTTGTGAGCTGCATCTGACTGACTCCAACCTATGTGTACACCATTGTACTGTAACAACAAATCTTCTTGTCAGGTAGTTGAAGGATCAGTAGTTGGGCATGCGGTTGTGCAGCCTAACGACCCAAGTTCAATTCCTAGAATTGACAGGTGATGCACAGGGGTTTTCCCCCGTTTATTGAGGATCAAGTTTGGTGTGTGGTGAAACCACTCATCAAGAAATATCTTGATACTCATTTAAAAAAAATCTGAGGATCATGTTTATCTTGGTATTCATACTAAAATGGTCGTATGCATCCCTAGTTGGTGCAGAGGCCGGGAAGAGAAATTCTCTCCCATTTTAAAGGAGTCATGCGGGCGACTGGGGTGACTGGGGCGACTCCCAGGGTGACTCCTAGGGCGATTCCCCGGGGGACTGCGGAAGCCGCCGCCGCGCCGTGCCCTCCCGTGGCGGCTGCGCGGGCGGGTATCGGTGGCCGTTTTTGGGCTCTATTGGATGCGGAAGACGAGGATGACGCCGGAGACAACGAGGACTCAGAAGGTTCGCCGCACTCGCCTACGCCTTCGGATTTGATTTGCGATCTATTTCATGCAGGCTATGATGAAGATGATGTGGCCAAGACCGTAGACACGGTAGTGCCGGTGGAGGATCCGGCGCGGGTGAGGCTTGATCCGGACGAGAGGAAGGAATTGGTGCGACGTGTCGTTCATCGGAGAAATGCGGCATCGGCGGTCAGGCCATGGAAGGTCCCTTTACCTAAGGTTCGCCTTCCAAATCTTACTCTTTTCGACAAGATTAGGCCGGATTCGTGGATTACTATTAAGAAACGAAAGAACGGGAAGCTGAGGGGCGAGCGGCCGGCGGCGGCGGCGGCCATGGCGTCCGCAGTGCCCTCCCAGATCGCTGAGATGCGATCGGCTCGTTTGAATTACTTGGTGGGCTGCGATGGGCCGACTTTGTGTCGGTCGGGGATGCGAGGAGATGGGCCTGGGATGGC